ACTCTCTACGACTATAACTATTAAAAGCTGTGACTATATAGATTTAACTGTATGAATATATCTAAATTTCAACTCTGCATAAGTTTCCCTATAATATCCAACGTCTCTTGATTAGAGTCAAAACGCACAAATTATACGAAGAATATTCTACAGTTGACAAAAGTTTTAAAAATGTTATATTCCACTGGTTTCCAAACCAGAACTTTGACTAATTATTATAAAAAATATTTAAATTCTTACAAGTTTTTTCAATGAATTTATAATTAAATTTATTAATTGAGAATAATTCAATTTTTATTAAATTAAAATAAGTTAGAGTAACAATATTCTTATAATAGGTATAAAATAATGATTTTATTATTCAGTCATCTTAAAAGTTTTAAATTAAAATTTCTTTTTAATTTAATTTTAATTTAACATTTTTTTCTAAATTTAATAATGATCACCTATTAAATTGAGATGAAATTTGAAAGTAAAATTTTCAATATTATTAATATTGAAAAGTGACTGTTATAATATCTCATCAAAGTCGCAACGACATTAGGGGTGAAAATATCCACGTGGGTGTATTTACGTCACAAATTGACGTCAAGGTAAGAACACACGAAATCAATATTTTAGGGCTAAATAGCTTTTATGAAAGTGGGTAATACACTTGGCAATTTCGAAAAAAAACGTAAATAAATAAAAAACAACTACTAATAACAATATTGATTATTTTCCCTTACAGTAAATTATTATTTCCCGGTATCGATTAAATCATCATTAGCCGCAGAAAAAATCATGGATAAAGTAATTTTTCTAAAATTATTCAAAAATTTTCTAAAATTTGACAAATTTGAGAGAAAAGATTTTTTTTACAAATTTGAATTGAATTAGGGGTAAATACTATATCCTATTCTTCAAGAAGCAAATTTGAAGGTTAATAGCCAGATGATAATTTAATAATTTCTTAACGTTCAATTTTTTTCGTCAGCGATAATAAGAAGTAGATTGTAATGTTGATAAAAAGAGACGACAAACTGGCCGCAGCTAATGTAATAATATGCATGAAGAAAAAAAAAAAATTTGAAACTGTTAGCTTGTAATATACCAAGGACTTCCAGGAAGTTGATCTCTATATGCTTACACGACTGGACCACGTACGTACTTTGAATGAATAAACAAAAGACATTTTCTTTCTTTGACTGATGTTAGATAAGTGGAACTATACAATATTTATATAAAACAAAGTGCTACGGTTTAAATTTATATACACTGCTAAAGTAGAATTGTCAACTTTTTCTTTTTGTAACACATAAAATAAAAAACTTATATATTCACCAGGCAGGGTTGCCACAAAAATTTCATTTTCCTTTTCCCTGATTTCCAGGGAAAATTTTCACTTTTTCCCTGATTCTAAAGAATATTCTGAATTTCTGATTCACTTTAAAAATAATTAGATATACTCAAAAGATTGTTCTGTTACATTTAATTACAAATTTCTTTAATTGTAAAATTATTCGAAAACATCAATAACTTCTTTTTTCAATAAATAGTTAATCCTTATTATTTTTCCGTAGGAATTAAAATTTTTCAAAATACAATGATTTAGAATAATTAAAGATGACCGAGAGATAAAATCATTATTTTATATTATAAAAATATTGTTACTGTAACCTTTTCAAAATTATTCCATCATTTCAATTAAACTATTATTTTCTAGAATTTTTAACTAAAATTCTTCTTTAAATCAATTATTTTTTTTTCGAAAAAGTTCTTTGAGAATTTTCAAATTCATTTGTTTACAAGTCAATGTATATTAAAAAATAAAAACTACAAATAATTTCAAAAAAATGCAATTCAACTTTTTCAAAATAATTAATTCTACAGAATTATTAGTTAAAAGTGAACGAAAACCTTTTCAAAATTCAATTATTTCTAAAAATTCACGCTATAATGCCTTTATTATATTCAATTATCTAAAATTTTAACTAAAACTCATATTCAAATCAATGTCAATTAAAAAATTCTACGAGAATTCAATTAATTCAAAACAAAGATAAATAATTTCTTGAATAATTAAATGTTTCTTAAAATTTAATTTTCATGAAAAATTTTATTAACAAATTTTTAAATAATTGAATTCTTTCGACGAATTTTAATAAAATTATTAATTACATTTTTCGAGGAATTCTATTAAAAATTGTATTGAAAAAATAATTGGAACTCTGCAATGAGTTTTATTATTTATGCAAATAATGGAATTTATTATTGCTTAGAAATTTATAAAACATTTGTAAATAATTAAATTCCTGAATGCAATTTTCATTATTTATGAAAATAATTAAATGTTTTGCGTAGAATGATATTAAATTTTTTTTTTAATAATTGAATTCTTTTGTAAAATTTTATTAAAATAGTAGATATTGAAAATGATCGAATTGAGGAAAATTTTCGAAAGTAATTGAAATTTTAACAAAAATTTTATTTCAATTTTTGAAAATAATTGAATTTTAGACAAGAATTTTATTATTTATAATATTTGATATTTTGACAAAATTTTTTTTTAACTTTTTGAACATAATTGAATTTTAAAGTAGAATTTTATTATTTATGAGAAAATAAATAAATTCCTAAACAGAATTGTATTTTTTACGAAAATAATTATTGAATCCCTTTAAAAAATTTTATTATTTTCGAAAATAGTGGAATTATTGCGAAGAAATTTATAAAAAGTTTGTAAATAATTGAATTTCTGTGTAATTTTTATTATTTAAGAAAACAATTAAATGTTTGGGTAGAATTTTATGAATTTTTTTTTTTTAATAATTTAATTCTTTAGGAAAATTTTATTAAAGTAGTAGATATAGAAAACTATTTAATAAATTGATTTTATCTGACATTAATTTTAAAACCAATTTTTATTAAAAAATTCTACAAAAATTCAATTATTTAAATAATAACAGATAATTTATTGAATAATTTGAATGTTTCTTTAAATTAAATTCATTACATAATTTAAACAACAAATTTTTAAAGAATTGAATTCTTCAGACGAATTTTAATAAAATTTTTAAGAATAATTACATTTTTCGAGGAATTCGATTAAAATTGTATTAAAATTTAAAAATAATTAAAATTCTGCAATGAGTTTTATTATTTATGAAAATAATTGGATTATTGCGAAGAATTTTTTAAAAATGTTCCAAACAATTGATTTCTTTTGAAAAAATTTATGCAAATTCAATGTTTAGTAATTGAATTCCTATGAAATTTTCATTATTTTAGAAAATAGTTGAATATTCGTGTAGAATTTTTTCAAAATTATTTTTAAATAATTGAATTCTTTTGGGAAATTTTATTAAAATAAAGATGTACAATTTACTGATATAAGAAAATTTTTTGAAAATAATTGTTTTGCCATGAATTTTATTAAAATTTTTGAAAATAATTAAATTTTATTACTTTTGAAAATAATTGAATTATTCTTATGGTGAATGTTGTTATTTATGAAAATAATTGACTTTCTCCGAATGATTTTATTATTTATAAAAATAATTAAATCCCTGAAAGGAATTTTAAAATTTATGAAAATAATTAAATTACTGCGAAGAGTTTAATGCTAAATTTTAAAAACATTTGATTTTTTCGAAAAAATTTATACAAATTCTATTTTAAATAATTGAATCTACGTGAAATTTTTTTAATGAATTTTATTAAATTTTTTTGAAAATAACTGAATTATTATTTTAACAATACTATTATTTATGAAAATAATTGAATTTTGCAATGAATTTTATTAAAATTCCTGAATATAATTGAATTAGGTAGATATAATTGAAATGTTGACGAGAATTTTTTTTTCAAATTTTCGAAAATAACTGAATTTCTGAATAGAATTTCGATAATTATTAAGATAGTTGAATTCTTTCGCAAAATTGCGTTAAAATTTCTTAAATTGTAACTAATTTCAACAGAATTGAAATTCAAATTTTTCAAAAAAATACTATCGTAAATGATTCATAAGTAATAACTTTATGGCAATTCTTCAATAGAATTAAATCATTAAAAATAAATTATTGTCAACGAACAAATATTCTTATTATAGGAAGATTGTGTGAGAAATCGTGAAACAAAATTTTCTGTAGATTGGAAAAGCTTTTTGTTGTTGTTATCCAGTAAAATATTTCTTACATAACCTGTAATATTTCCATAGTGGGCAAATAGACCCATATTAATAGTGTACTGATATTTGTTAACATTCTCAAAATTATTCATCTCTTCATGATCAGAAATATTAATTTTCCTTTGTATTTCTTTAAAAAGATGGATTTTTGCAGTGGACTCATTATTCGAATCGACTTGTTTAGATATTCAAAAAAGGCATTTAGAACGGGTAAGTATTTTTCAAACCTTTATCTAATAGGTGATTCAAGTTTGAGTAAATTGATAATGTTCTATTTGCGATAGAACTCTTGGATACGTCGTAAAAATTCTGAAATAATCTAGAACATTCAATATAGTAATCAATGAATCAATTAATGTTTGGAAGAAATTCGGAAAGTGTTTTAGAAAAAAGCTGAAACTGATTCAATAGTTTTTTTTCATTACTTTCTCATGGTGAGTTTTTACGTATTGTGATAAGTTTGATCAGAATGGTTTATAATAGTAATCGCTAGCTTTTAAAATAATATGCCGATTTGCTTTTTTTTGATATGACAAACAGCTAAGCGAGATTGGATTTTAACAGGCATAGCAGGCTACTTGAGTCAATGGAACACGCATTTTTAAATGAATAATCTAGTGCTTGAGAGTGTTTTACTTTCGAACTGTAAGGCGAGGCTAAGTAGGAACTATTTACTCCCAAGATGAGCGTTTGGAGAGTGGAGTGTAGCATTTATCGCAATGATCCTATTTTCGGTTCCTGAAGTCTCTCTACTTGATGCGATAAGAGACGAGTGTGTGTTCAAAAAAGTGTTGGTATAATAAAACTAAGAGAGAGAGACTGGATGACTCACCACATGTATACTGGAGAGGCCAACGGGTTCGCTCTGCTTCTTGTCGCTCTTCTTGGCCTGTCTCTTCGCCTTACTCTCGAGAAAACGTTGCTTCAACACCAATGTATCTTGAATATTCTGCTCGCATTGTCCAGTAAAACTCTGATCAAATCTTGGTATGCAGTCAGTTTGCCGTCGACGGTAACTTTCAATTCTTCGTCTTAATCTATCGACAACCGCTTGTCTTTTGGGGGTGAGCGCCTCACCCATACCGGGTGCCTGACCCATTTGTTGCTGCAACTGCAACTGCTGTTGACTCGTCAAACTCAACTGATTGCCCACTGGATTGAGATCGTGCAATGGCGATTGATTCGCGTTATTATTGCTCAATTGATTTGAACCCTGGACCATTCCCGAGCAAATTGATCCAGGGGGGCCTTGCGGGGGCTGGCGGGGCAAAAGCCCCCCGGCCTCCATACAGCCCCCTAAATCCAACGCAGGGTAAGCCAGCTTACCAGAAACTTCCGCATTTCCCTTCCACAACAGCTCCTCCTCTTCGACGAGTCGCAATGACTCCCACGACCTCTGGTCCCTTTGAAAAACACTTCCTTGACCCTGACATCGGTCTATCTATCCTCCTCTCACCTCATTTCCCTCAATTTTTCTCTGACACATTTTTCACTTTTTCCTTTAATGCCTTCCATTTCTTCTTTTTCTTCTTCTTCTTCTTCAATATACAACTTCTCTTTAATTGATAATCACTTTATAGCATTTGGTGAAAACTACCGGTCGATCAACAACCTTTCAAAGGAACCCAAATTCAATTTTCCACTGTTCTTAGCCGCATTTTTGATACAGAATCAATGATGATGACAACACTATTAGAGAAGAAATAAAAAATTATCACGACTGTCGGAACTGTGTCTCCACAATAGATTAGTGAACGACTATTGTGCACGTAATGATCTCTCATAATGTGTCAGTAGTTGAGTGCTATTGCCAACTGTTATGAAGAAAAACATACACCTTGTTCTAACTTTCATTGACAATCATATTGGTAGAAGAAAATAATTGTTATTTATAGCTAATGTTGTTGAAAGTGATACGCATTTCGGACCACAACTTTTTAAAATTTATAATTTTTCATTTCTGGATGAAATGGATTTTTTTGGAGATTATAATTTTTGACTATAATTTTATCTCTAACACTGATGTTCGATGCAAGAAAGCTCTAAATTGATATTATGTTCTTTTTTGGTATTATAGTTAAAAAAATTGAATAAATTTTTTACTAAACAAATAATTTTTTAAGGTCTTGACCGGTAATCCAATTTTCATGTCCTTAAACTATCTATTGAGTATACGCCTTGCAAATGTTAGACTCTAACCCTGTTCTTGAATTTTTCTATAACTTTTTTCAAAACAATTTATTAGATTTTAAACTTTTGCATTTCGGACCACAACTTTTTAAAATTATAATTTTTCATTTCCACTGAAACAAAAATATTCTTAATTTAAGAATATATACTATAAAAAAAAGGTACTAAACAAAAGAATATTTTTTTTTTCAGTGTGGTGTTGTGGTGCAAAATTCTTACAAGATAGTTGTAAAGTTTACTGAACATAAGACAGTGAAAAGAGAAACGAAAGTGTTATTCTAGTGGGAAATTTTGAAATTCGAATACTTTTTAAATTAAAATTTAGTCTTATTTAACTGACGCAAGCATCATAGTACGTTTTATCATCAAAAAAAGGTGGATTTTTTTCTTAAAAAGAGGACAAAAAATATACCAAACAATAAATTAAAATGTGTTAAAAGTTCTATTAATACTTTCTTACAGTTTTTGATTCTTTGATAAAAAATCCCATTTACGAATTTCTTTAATTGTAAAATTATTCAAAACCATCAATAACTTCATTTTTATAAAATTTTAATTTAATTTAATTTAATTTTAATTATAAATTATAAAATTTTATAAATTTTTCCATAGAAATTAAGATTTTCAAAAATTTCAAATTCATACTCTTTAGAAATTACACAAATTATAAATAATTAAAGATGACCGAGTGATAAAATCATTTTTTTATATTATTATAAAATTATTGTTACTGTAACTTCTTCAAAGTTATTTTCATCATTTCAATTCAATTATTATTTTCTAAATTTTTTTAACTAAAATCCTTCTTTAAATCAAGTAGTTTTTATAATTTCTCAAAAAGTTAAAAGTATGAAAAATTATAAGATTTTCAAAGATTTTAATTTAAAACCTAAAAATTCAAGTATTTTTAAAAATTTATGCTATATAATGCTTTTAATATTCAATTATTATTTCAAATTATCACTAAAATTCAATTTTAAATAAAATTCTATTAAACAATTTTAGGAGAATTAAATGTTTTAAATACAAAAATAAATAATTTATTGAATAATATTGATTATTTCTTAAAATTTAATTCTCATAAAGAATTTTTAAACAAATTTTTAGGAATAATTACATTTTTCGAGGAATTCGATTAAAATTGTATTAAAAATAATTGAAATTCTGCGTTGAATTTTATTAAATTATGAAAATTATTATTAAATCTTTGTAAAAAAATTTTATTAAATTTATAAAAAACTTTGTAAATAATTGAATTCCCGTGAAATTTTTATTATTTATAATTATAATTAATACATGTTTGCGTAAAATTTTATTAATTTTGTTTTAAATAATTAAATTCTAATTTGCAAAATTTTATTAAAATTCTATATCGCAGGTATATCGAAAATCATTGAATTGAGGGAAATTTTTGATAATAATAATTGAAATTCTGTCTAGAATTTTGTTAAAATTTTTAAGAATAATTGAATTTCTACAATCATTTTTAAACACTTTCTAAAATTAAATTTTTTCAGTTTTTTTAAACTGAAATTCTTCTAGAAATCCATTATTTTTAATAATTAATTAAATATATACTAAAAAAAAATAAACTACATAATTTCAGAAGAATTTGAATTATTAAAATTTTTCAAAAATCTTACTTCTTTAAAAATTTCCAATTAAATAATAATTCATTCAAAAATTGAAAATTTATAAAATTATAAATTGAAACCTTTTAAAGTTGATCTATTTATGAAAATTTTAATAACTAATTATTATTAGTAAAAGAAAATAAATCATTCGTTAATTCAACTAATATTATTATTAACAAAAATAACTAATTTTTCGTGAAAAAAAAATCTATTATTATGAGTCTAAAACTTTTGTATTTTTTTTAAATTAAAGACTGTGGATTCGTTTAGCACTTAAAAAGAAAATAAGACTAATTATTAGTTACAAATAACTTGTTATTGGTAAAACATCATTTTTTCATGATTATTTTTTCTTTAAATTAAACTAATAATTATTGATACTTAAATGCAACTAATAATTAATTAGTTTAACAAATAAATTGATTTTTACTAAAAGTTAAATATTTATATCAAAAAGCTCTCTAATTTTGAAATATAGTAAAAATGTTTACTAATTTAAAAGCAAAAATTCAGTCACGAATTCAAATTTTAGTAAACATTTTCGAATTTAGATTTGAAGTTAGTAATCATTGTATCTTAATAAATTGTTAATTTTTAATAATTAGATTTTTATTAATTGTTACTTAATAATTAGTTTATTTCTACTAATAATTAGTTAACTTCAACTAATAATATTCAATAATATTCAAAATATAATACAGATGATGGTGATTGTTTTGTTGATCAGAGTCAATATACTGTCAGAGATGTTTATTATTTGTCAATAAACTGATCAATATAATAATATATTATTATATTGTATTTATATTATATTATATTATATTACATTATATGATTCAGAATGTTTATCAATTAGATAAACATTAAGTTCCAACATCGAAAAATCAGTGCGTTAACTTTTTAGGTTATGTTCTCTGTTTCGTTACCGCGTTAACTTTAATTTGCTCAACTATAGACAAATATTTGTTAACTATTTTTTTTTCTGTATATTCCAATTTGAAAATTGCGCGCGACAATGTCACTTTCGTTTCTCTATTCAGTTTTATCAACACTTGAAGGAGATTTTCTCCAATAGCACTAATGGTCAGTGGCTAAAAACATCACTGTCAACAACACCAATTATAAATGACACTTATTTAACTGTTTCTTTGAAATATCACCGGCTGTCAATGAAAGTCAGTAAGCGGAAAGTAGCTTTTTTTCCCTCAACAGTTGGCAATAGCACTCCAAGAACGTTCGTTACGTTCACGAAAGTCGTTCACTACTGCCGTGCAAAAGTTAAGATTATTTAGTTTTCTATACATATATATAATATGCAATAAATATAAGTAAATTTCATCGAACCAAGAAAAAAGGAAATTTAATTCAAGAAAAACAGTAGAAGAAAAAATAGTCGCTATTAACTAGAAATTTAGATTTTTTTATTTTTGGTAAAACTGGATATTTTTTTTTATAAAAAATTAGTTGTGTATAAAAAGATTTACTTTTTTTCGGTAAAGTTTTTTTTTTAGAAAAACAGAAAAAAAGGGGAATTTTGAAACTTTTTACACAGTTGGAAAAAGGGAATTTTTTTTTTTTTTTGAAAAAATGTCACTTGTGTATCTTTTTAACTTTGCACGACAAGAAAATTGTGGACATGGAACGTGGAGTGCACTGTACCGCTGTACGTCACAACAGGTAGTCGAGCAAGCACACACAACAGTCGAGTTGAGGGCAGCGTGCTTCGAAAAGAAAGAGAATCACTCTTTCTCCCTTTTTTTCATACGCCCGTCTCCTTTTCTCCTTTAAACCACTCACTCACTCTCTCTCTCTTTCTTTCTCTTTCTCTCGGATGCGGGAAGGGAGAGTGAGCGAGATGACATGATAGAGTGACGGAGAGTTAGAAAGGGAGCCCCACACTTTGGAAAAAGAATACACTGGTCGGACGTGTGAGTTTCTGGCTAAAGATAGAAAAGGAGGGACGAATAAAAAGGGGGAAAGAAGCAGCAACAACTCTTGGGAGTGTATAATATTAAAAAAAAAAAAGAAAACCATTCCACAAAACTTTGCATGCTTTGCACAAATTAACTCACTATTTACGAACAAAACACAAAATTCGTTTTCTGATTGCACTGAATTTCACACACACACACTATTTATTTTTTAATCAAAAACCGTTTTGCAAAATGTTGTTGGCGCACTGTTCAAATGTCATTGAAATCGAACGCGGCGCACAGGATCCTTACCAAACAATTACATAACCTTACTTTTTAGCGGGAGATGTATTTACACTTTTCTGGGGGGGGGGGGCAATTATTTCCTTTTAAAGAACGTTGACATTTTCAATTGTTTTGATTAGACATTTTTTTAAGGATTGTTTGGGGGAATATTTTTTTTGATGGTGTACATGTTTTAAGAGCGCGGGGCGATTAAAAGAACCGTGCGCCGTGTGCGTGGGTACTCTATAACTATAAAACTGGTAAGATACATTCGTTCAAACGCGGCCCATAATTCCAACGACAGAATTGACTGAAACACGGATGCAATCTGGTTGTTCGTCGATGAACTACAACCAACACTGAAATGGTAGTGTAGAGAGACAGTGACTGTCCGACGATTCGAACGATACTGACACCATCTGTCGGCATTTCATTGAATTGTGTCGGAATTCAGTGCCTTTCGCCTGTTTCGCCTCTACAAGTTCACTATACAGGTTGTAATGGAATTTTGCGAGTTGTCAAACATTTCTTTCGGAAAATTAAGTTTCTTGACTTTCTATATTTATAACTGAACATTCATACATTACTTTTTTATTCATAAAAAATAAACATTTTCGTTTTAAAGTGCAATATGAAATTATAATTTACGAATTAATGCAAGTTAATTCTAATTCTTAATTCATTTTTCAATTCAAGAGGAGTGGTAGCGATTCTACGAAAATAAATTCTACACACTAGAACAAAATATCTATACACAATTGCCACAAACATTTAATTTTCCTTTCCCCTCTGATTTACAAAATTTTTATTTTTTTCCTTTGAGACTAAAAAAAAAATATTCTTATTCACTCTAAAAATTATTAGATACTCAAAAAAATGTATTTTATTTACGAATTTCTTTAATTTATTGTAAAATTATTTAATTTCCATTAGAAAATTCTACGAGAATTTAATTAATTCAAAACAAAAATAAATTTCTTGAATAATTGAATGTTTCTTAAAATTTACTTTTCATGAAGAATTTTATTAACAAATTTTTAAATTATTGAATTCTTTCGACGAATTTTAATAAAATTATATTAATTACATTTTTCGAGTAACTTTATTAAAATTTTTATTGAAAAAATAATTTAAATTCTGCAATGAATTTTACCTAATTCAAATGAAACTTTTTGTTTAAATTTTTTAAATTCGAGCCCCTGTTTCTTGACAACCATTCTCTACTCTCATGTAGCAAATATTTTTACCCACTAACATCGGGTTGTCAAACGACAGGGGCACGAATTTTCAAAAGTAAATATATCAACGAAAGTAATACCTATATGTACATTTAGAAAAAATAATTATACAATTCTTCTAAATTTTTAATTATTGAAATTAATAACTTTAATATTAAAATCTTGATTAAAAATAACGACATAAAACAGTGATCTGCGCAGAAAAGTACAACAATGCGTCATGCGCGCGCAATTTCAATCAGCTGACAGTTATCCATGTAGATATTACTGTATATATTTAATTTTACTTTTGTAGTTGAACATGTGCTCGTTGCATGTTTTGTTTACCAATAGTGTCAATATTAATCAGTTATATTTATAGATAATTATTAATGACAACTGGAAATAATTCCAAGTGAACGAATAGTGAACATTTATATTCATAATGGCGTCCGGCAGTAAAAAAATTAAAAAGTTACCTCCCATTCCAGGAACAAAACCATCAACACATAATGCACAACTTTTCATTTCAACAGGAATTCCATCTCTCGATCATGTTATAGGTATAAAATCAAACTTAAAAATCTGTAAATTATTGTTTATCTGTAAATTTGACAATTTTATTCCTATGCCTTTATCTAAGATTTTTTATTTCAAATATAGTTTAATAACCTAACCTTAAAAACATAACTCATGTGTATGGGTGATTCCACGTGAAATTTCCTATGACATTTTAAAATTGGTTAAACATATTTTTTTCTCGTTCTTTATAGAAAAATGTGAAATACGTATTTTTTTATAAATTAAGGCAAATTAAACGAAAACATTCGGACAATGAATAAAATATTTATTTACTCCAACGTTTCGAAATCTAAATGATTTCCTCTTCAGGGAGTCTATCCAAAAAAATAAAAAAAAAATACAAAATACAATAATCCACAATAAAATAAAAATAATTTGTCAAATTAAGTAGAAACATATTTCGTTTAATTTGCCTTAATTTATAAATGATCTCGGACGTTAAAGATTATTTAACTAATTATTTTTTTATAATTGCCCAAATTTTCGAGTTATGAATTTTCGGAATTTTTAAAAGTAGACCTACTTATAAATTATAAATTACTTTACTTTACTTTTTACTTTACTTTTTTTTTTATTTATTACTTATAAATTTGAAAGTATTGAGTTTAGAAAAAAGTTATCAAATGACAACTTTACGTTTAAAAGAAAATTTTGGTTTCTCTTCAAATGTATAAATTTTTTTTAAATTAGTTTTATTGCAGGAGGTGGCTTACCTATTGGATCCATATTCTTAATTGGTAATTATAAAAATTTCCACTATATATATTATATAAATAATATTTTATAATATTTATTTGTAAAGAATATAATTAATATTTATTTATAAATAATATAATTAATATTTCTCTAATTTTTCCCTTTAGAGGAGGACAAATACGGAAACTATGCAAATACAATGTTAAAATATTTCATCGCCGAGGGAATAGTTGTGTCTCATGATAATTTCATTGCATCTCGTGGCACAAAAACAGGACAATTACTTTCGGAAATTCCCGAAGTGGCAACAGACACGCCAAAGGAAATGAAAAATGATGACAGAGATGAAATGAAAATTGCCTGGAGATATCAGAATTTAAAAATAATTGACACATCACCGTCTGGTAGTCACAAGTTTGGTCATTTTTTTGATCTCACAAAATTTATGGATAGGAAAAAAATTGACGAGACACGTGTCACTGAATGGAACGGTGAAAATTTAAGATTTAAATCAACTGGCTTTAAGAAACAAGAATATGTCGATTTACTGAAATCTATCGAAGAAACGATTTCAAATGGACAATTTTATGTTTCAAATTGTCCGGAGAAGAGAAATATTTTACGTATTACGATAAGATCATTGGGATCTTGGTTGTGGATGTGTGACGATCCTGAGGAGACAAAAAGTGATCTTTTCAAATTTATCTATTGTTTTAGAGCATTATTGAGAAATTCTTATGCCGTTGCGGCAATTACATTTCCTGGACACTTGTATTCTGATAAAGTAATTTTCTTTTTCTGATTCTTACTATTTTTGTTATAATATAAATTATTATACTTTACTTAAACTACTATTACAAAAATATATTAATGATTTGGTTAAGATTTTTTTTCTTATAATAAAAAATACGTTACTAAAGTTATACTTTTTTTCTGCAGGATGCTGTGATTGAAAGGCTGGAACATCTTTCGGATACTGTAGTGAAACTTGAATCGTTTGCAGGTTCTGATAAAGAAACAAATGTTGTCTTCAAAGATTATCATGGCTTGTTGCACATAAAGAAACTTTCTGCATTTAATACTTTGGTCTCACATTGTCCTCACTCCACTGATTTGGCGTTCAAACTGCGAAGAAAAAAGTTTCTCATTGAAGTAATATTCTATTTTAATTTATTGCCTCGTTATGTTATAGGTAGCAAAATATTAATTGAACAGTAACCACAGAGTGGTCACTTTTCAAGAATATAATAACTCCTAAAAATGTTATACAATTTTCCGTTTCTTTCAAAAAATTACTACTGCGGAGAAACATGATGTAAATTGACTATTTATTAGTTTGCTAAAGTAAAAAAGTTTCATTCGTTTTAATGGTAAATTTTAATTTAAAGTCTGAAAGAATATTAAATTACTTACAATTTTGTAAAAGTTATTTGCCTTTTCTTTTCAAGGTTTTACACATACCGCCAGAATTGGGAGACACTACTGAACGTGAACAAGATGAAGTTTCTTGTGGAGGTGGAAGCTCAAAACGAAGTGTACTTGACTTTTAATAAAAATAGTGTATTTTAAAAAAAATGTTCAGTTTCTTTCTCTTAAAAAGGTCATTAATAAAAATTGATCCAATATTCCTCATAAAAAGATACTTATACTAAGTAACACCTTATTCCTAATTTTCTTCAACGACGTTAATAAATACTTTAGTGTTTTGAACGTATTAAAACTTTGTCTACTAATAAAAACGCCCAAAACAAATTTAATTTGGTGCAAACAAATAGCTCACTTTTTTGAATGTATTGATGAGATGGGAGAATGGAATAATATCAGCTTAAGCACTCTTCAGGCTAAGAAAGATATTTGGATAAAAAAATATGAAAATTATTTATTGATTGAGGATATGAATAGAGTGCAAGCGTCAGGATCGTTAACACTGCTCCCATACTTAGCATTAAATATATAGGAACCAAGAAATATTTTGTACAAAAATTACCTTTAAAATATATTAAATTAGTTTGTCAAATTCGACATTTGAACATCTTTTACCCAAGACTGGTAATTAACAAGAAATTATACAAATTGAATGCAAAAGGTCTGTGTGAAAGTTGTGGACTGAAAACTACGATTTTCCTCTAGATACTCAATTTTTCCGATAATCCAAAATCAACCAGATTCTATAAATAATAACGACCAAAAACAAAGTCTAAAAATTGCACGGTTTTCATTTTTTTCGAAATGTCCAATAAGTAATTCTTTTTCTAAATTAGCAAAAAATGAAATATTTAAGAATAAATCCAATCACTTTATACTTTGCGTCAACGTGGACGTCCGTTGAATATATAGATGATGAGACAAAAATCTAGAATATCTTGTAAATAATTAAAATTCGTCAACATTCACTATTAAGAAAATAAATTTAATTATAGAAAATACAAAATTTTATATTTTCAATACTTGCAAGAAATTCTACTTCTTTTACCATAATCAGTAATATAATTTTTCTTACTCTATAGGACTTCTGATACCAAGAAGAATTGTATCTGTAAATTAATAAAATACTCCGAATTACTTATGTAAATTCCAAAAAAAAGCTTTAAATTACAACAAAAAAACATACGTTTTTAAAATACTGAGTTTCGACAACTTAAAGAAAAGTAAAAAAAATCGAATTTGATAACTTGTAGTAAAACAATGTGCCACGAGGAAGCAATTATTATATAATGGATGTTACAATAACTTTATTGTTTAAGGAATTATTTCCATTTAAAGAAATGTAAATTTACAATAGCGAAAAATTATTGACTGCTATATAATATAGCATTGTTCTCGTGAGTTGTTAGACCCTAAAGTAATCTGTTCTAAAAAAAATTTATAAATTCCGAAATCAATCCGGTAATATTCTATCAGTTCTGATTATAAAATAATTCCATTATATAACAACTGCACAATAAAATTTTGCACCTGAATATTTATAAAGTAATAAATTACATAATATCTGTGAGTCCAGTACTGTTGTCAATTATTCTTTGTGCGAAGAGAGAGTTAAAAAATTGATGTATCATGGAATTGCCAACAAGGGCCCCATATTTCACAGCCACTATGAAATTATTAGGATGCACAACAACCTGCATTAAATAAATCAAATTACTATTTACAACGAACACACAACATCTCTTGAACGGTAAATAATTATTGGAAAACAACATTAAAAAATGTTACGTTACTTTAGGAAGAATTTATAGTGATCAAAACTATAAACTGACCTGAATCAATGAAACAGAAATGAACACACTATTTAGTGTCACCACAAACAGAAAGCAGGGCCAGTATAGATGACAATTTTAAATCCTTTTGACAAATATACAAACTTAATAGCTCGAATATGTTGTTCAACACAAAAATAAACTGCTCTTAAATCCTCTATTTCGGTGCCATTGCCATTAATTTTTTTTAAACGTAAACTATAAAGAGGAAAGTTTTAAAGTGGTTAATAATCTAAATAAGTTCTAACTTAAGGTTTATGGGTAATTAATAATCTGAAATTACCCAATTATTTTGAATAATCCACATGCATGTTCAATGCTAGATACTAATATACTTTCAAAACTGATATAAATAGGAGCTTCTAAACAAAAGTTAAATGAAAAAAAAATAACTACCCAATAGAAATGTTCATTCGAGTAATTTATAAAATAATACACTTGAAATGGCAATTCTTTTGATTGTGATTCATTTAAAACATCAGTATTAAGAATTTTAGGAGTAACTGACAACGTTATATAACCACTCATTGCCCAAAACAGACTTCCTAGAATTTATTTTAATTGTATTAAAAATTCCCTAATGTATTCTTCTTCACCTTCTCGTTATTAACATTTCATTTCATTACAAGTTTATTTCTTGATAGTGTAATTTATAGAATTATAAATATTTTCTAATTAGGATAAATTGTTATAAAAAATATGTTCAGAAACGGTAATGAATTATAAAATACAGACCAATAGAAGCAAGAGTAATAAGTCTTCCATAATTTGCATGTTTGGAAATAATTAATTGTTCCTCAATAGAGAGCCAAAATTCCCAATCGTATTTGATTTTATCAAAAATTTGTTTAAACTGCAAAAAAATGTTCAATTTCGTACAGTAATGTGTACTTTCAGTGGAGTTCATTCAATTCATTATTAATTTTATAAGAGGACTTTTTAGTTTACAATGTGATAGCAAATATTAGAAATGCTCCCAAAGAAGTATTCTTTATGGTGGTAATTGTGGATATCAATATTATGAATTGAAATAAAAACTTTTAAACATTAAACTATTAAACATTAAAATATAAATTTTGATATGTAAATGTTAAAATAACGGAACTAAAAATTCACCTGCATTGTTTCAAAATGGAAAATGACGTGAATGACCAGAGCACCAAATGTTACAAAAATTGTTGGAAGGCACGCAATCATGTCGTCTGCGTCACCCCATACTTTTATAAGACCAGCTATCTGAAACATAATTTTTTTTGTTAATTCTTTTTCTTCTTTATAGCTAAGATACTTTACTTAGATCCGGCAAGGATCTTCCCTGACTTAATTACAAAAAGAGCAGGCAAATACAGAAATTAAAATGTCTAGAACTAACGCGTTCATTACAATTGATAATAGATTCAGAAAAAGTACTCGGGTAACATTTAAATATAGTTGTTTTGTTAAAGTAATAACAAAATAAAAAATTACCAAAGTGATAAAAAATATGAATAGACTTAAAAATACGAAACACTTTCTGGCAATATTTCGTCTTGGACTGTGATAAGGCCAATGACCAACAAAGATCATTAGGAATTTAATTATATAAAAATAGCGGTTATCAAAAACATCCGTCATTGCTAATAGAAGATGCAGTGGAGAACTGATTGCTTTTCACCCTGACATCATAAATGGTATTTTAAACAAGTTTTTGACGATAAATTATTTGTTTATCGTCCTGCAATTATTTCCAATGAAACTTGTGCAGAAGTTTACAGTTTTCGATTATTAGACTCATAAATATTTCTATATAGGTTTCATGCCTCTAGCATCTAATGGATATATCCTTCAAAATATTGCCAGCAATCTCTAATCGTGAAAGACTTGCAATATTTCTGAAAGTTTATTTCATTATTAGTTTTCCAAAAACGGTTTAAAACTGTATTTTATTACTAAATTGATTGCAAAATATTTAACGAAAGGAAACGTCTCCTGATGAGACACTACATTTATTTATTTGGCGAATGTAAACCAAATAGTCCTAAAGTGACTTTGAGCAATGTCTGCATCAACACCCGCATAATCAAGAAAATGTGAAAGTGGAAAGTGTCAAGTTTAATCTGAAACTGAAAGCTGAAATGTATCCGGAATATCGTTAAGTAACAAATTTTATTTAGACGACTGCGAATGTCATGAGTTTTTAAAAAACAGATCCTTCGTGATGACTTATATGCTGCAACTTTGGCTAAACTTCTAGGCCGCAGGAAGAAAGGAGAAGAAAATTACAAAATTGGGATCTGTGAGTGTTTATATAATATGACATCCAGTGAAGTGTTTTTGGATTTTATCATCTTCAGAAGACTATACCTAAAAATCTAACAATAAGCAAAAGACCTTTTGGCTATTTATAATCATTGTGCCGGTAATACATAACGGAAATTGTATTTCAACATTTGATATGTCATTGACGCCTTTGATAAATTATCATTAGAAGTCAGATGATTTATTAGATGTAGTGAATTATTTTGACTTCACTGCCCTATGGAGTCTTTATCAAACTAATCACGTTATCGAAGTGTGTCATAACAGTTCAGAATTTATGCTTGTTGACAAGAATCATCCAAATTTATATGGATGTCGAATTCCGTAATAGTGAAGGAAAATTAAATCCTCTTTAGTGAAGATCGGTCTTGGACAATTTGTAAAAGCAGCACAGCACAGAAAGTGGTATGCACTCTTCATCAATTTTATTAACAACTTTTCAAAAAGGTTTAGAACAAAAGTTCTAAAAAGGTACTCTGTGAGATCGGTGGATTTGGAGAACTTATGAATGACGAATGACAAAACGAATTCCTTATTCAAAATATTCTGTTAATTGCGTATAGTAGGTAAACACGCAACTTCAAGAATTCCAAAAGAATTCAAAAAGATCAATGTATCAGGAAATAGCTAAACAATCAGAAGGATTTTCAAAATTTTTTTTGTGTAGGGACTTTCGGGAAATCTGCTTACAGTTACTTTGGCTACAGCACCCCAAGGTGAAGTTGGTGTAAAAGAAAAAAGTAATAATAAACAAATAAAACATTATAATTTTATATAGAAATAAATTATGAATTATTAAATTTAAATCAATTTTTATAATTTTATCTTAAAAATTGTGAACAATAAGTAAGAGAAACCTCAAGTTTATGGCGTGAAAAATTGAGACGCAGTACAAAATTTATCCACTTTCAAAAAATTTTTTTTTTAAAGTAGTAAATGTTTTCTTCTCAATACATTCATTTCAGATAATTTGGCTGCTTATTATGTTTAACATGCTGCAGGAACACTACATAGGTACAGTGTATTGGTAAAGTGTTCACTGAGCCTATCTCCTCTAGTTTGCATTAAAACACACCTGCTACGCCCGCACCGCTCGTCGTCCGTAAAATAGGGCAAGCCTACGCTGTAAATGAGTTCCTATTAATTATATTCCCTATAATATGAAAATATTATATATTTTTGTAAAGTAAAAATTTATTTATCTAACATTATACTGTTATTTATTTTAATAATTTTCTTCTCAAATTCATCTTGTTACCCTACTATTTCAATAGTATTTAAAACAGTACATTTAAATTGTATTACAATTAAAAAATTTATAGATATTTTAAAATATACTTTATATTTTTTGTGTATTACAGCTCTTTAGAAACGAGAGTAGAAATCGTTTTATCACTACCATGAATATTTTTTAATGAATCATCTTTATCGCAGATGTTTTATTCTCTAATTGCATTCAGTCTGTTCATCTGGCATAAACTTTTAGGAATTTTAAAATCTAAATTTTCGACTGAATCTAAGTATTAATGATTATCTGGAATAGGATTTAGAATATATTTCTTTCTATTTTTATTTCTTTGAAATTATTTAACAGTTATTAAATTCGAAAATTTAAACACTGTAACGAAAAATATCTCTATACACGTGGTTGACAATCAGACCAGAAAAGCTTATCTATATTCTAGACCAGAGCATATAGAACATTTGTTTCACTTTTGTGTTGCAGCATGACATAATAATTTACATAATAAATACGAAATTACTCATAGTTTTAAAAACTTGAAAATGGCAAATCCAATATGGCGGACAAATTTTTTAAAAAATTTATCAGATTCGCTTGAAATTTGCGTCTCGGGTGTTTTTGGGGTCGGCAAATACGATTTTGACCTTAGTTTTAAAATTTCAAGATGGTGGATCCAATATGGCGGACAATTTTTTTAAAAAATTCATCAGATTCGCTTGCAACTTGCTTTTTGGGATTTATTAACATAAACTTTTTAGTATTTCACAAAATTTTTCTAAATTTCTGGATAATAAAAATCTAAAATAATAATAAAGATCTTAAACTTTTATGGACATTAGGCCAAACAATAAAAGTTTAAGATCTTTATTATTTAAATTATCAATTTATTTATATATATATATATATGGTAAAATAAAAAAATATTAAAAAAAACAATTTGGAAGATCAATAAAATAAATAAAATTAAAAAATAAAAAATAATTTTTAAAATAGCTTTAAAATAAGACATCAGTGAATGTTTCAGTTTTTGAATCAGTAGCTTAAAGCATGTAATTGGGACTTTGGGTGTTTTATTTGGGGCCAAATGGTCACTCCTTTTTTTTGATCATTTATCATTTTGAATTGAAATGCATGCTACCTAATGCAGTTTAAACAACAACACGAGGCGGTACCTGTAAAATAACTAACTTTTTATACTCTCCCTCCTTTCTTCCGCACCACTCTATTTCCTTCCGTTTCCGTCCGATGCGTCGCGCATGAAGGACTCAATGCTAACGAATACATGGTACGGCATTGTCAGCATTCTTTTTCCACTGTGTGTTTCCCAGTAGTTGTGAAACAACCGCGAATAAGCAAGTTCAAAAATAGTTTTAAATGATTTTTTTTTCATTTAAAAATTTAATTTAAAAAAAAAAACAGTTGTTTACAAAAATTAACAATTACATCTGGAAATTTATAAAACTTGTGATTTAAATTAAAAGTGAATAATACAACAAATTAGTGTTAAATATGTAATTGTTTAAAATAATACATAAGTGAAGAAATTGAATATCAAATTTCAACAATGGAAGAAAAAAAGTTGGGTTTACCAAAAGCGTTTATTTGCTGCTCCAATATTTTGTTTTTGGTGGGTATATATATTTAACTTTTTTGAAATTAATTTTTTACAGTTTTATGTTTTTATTTAAAAATTCCGAAAATTATAATTAACATTGTTGTTAAAACGTAGATTAACAAAGTATAAATATTTACAATTATTCAATTATATGTATAATAATTTTTATAATAACTAAAGTGAGTTTTTTTAAATTACCTTTAATTTAAAATAGTACAAAAATAGTCTAAATTAAATTTAGAATTCGATATTTATTTCTGAAATTTAGAAATTAAATGATGTTTTAAGTTTTACAATTATTTTAAAATTTTATAAATACCAGAACAATTTATATCAATTTAAGAAGGATAATATCTGATTATTTTGAGATTGTTAATTACAAGCATTACAATAAGGTAAGAACGAATTGTGTGAGAGGAAATTTTAATTTACAAAAGCTATAGCTAGACTATAATCGTCTTTTTTTCAAATTAAAAAAACTGCAAATTACAGGTTACATTAAAAACACTTTTCAAAAATAGTAATTTGCAAAAAATTTCATTTTAAAAACAAAATTAAAACTGTAACACGAAAGTATAGAAGAATCAGAAAAATATTCAAACCCCATTCAAGTTGTTATATATTTTGAGTTTAAAAAGAGTTCGTTGATCTATTTTTAAAACTAGGGGGGTGATAAATTTAAAAAATCCTCAACCTTAGTTTATTAACATTTTTATATAATTTTCAAAAAAAATTTTTTGTTTATTATTAATAATTGTAAAAAAATGTTCGCAAAGTTGAAAACAATTGTTTTGTAAATAAAAAAAAAAAGAAAATAGTGCATGGATTCTGTAGTTGATCACAGCAGCGGATTTCAGGTAAATTAGTTAAGCCATTCGCACGCTCTAGAATTAAATTCAAACGTTTAAATTCTTAAAATTTATGTAATTACTTTCAACAAAATTGACGTATTTTGATCTTTCTCTTTTTAAACTAAGTAAATTTCTTCCCATGATTTTAAAATTGAAATTTTTACATTCTCTTAAAAAATGAGAAGGTCTTCTTTTCAATAAAATTGTAAATAATTGTGTAAAAATTATAATCATTATTTTATATTTTTTATATACATATTTTTAGGGCATTTTTTGACGCATATCTTTATATTATTTGACATTATTAGGAATTCAAAAATCACATTTTTAAAAAATGTGAACTTATTTTCGAAATTTACAATTGAAAAGAGTTTCAATAAATATTGAAATTATTTTGTAAAATTTAATTGAAAATAATTTATTTTTTTAAAGTGTTTTATACAAATTTTTGAGAATCAACATTTGAAGAATATTAATTGCAAATTTTGAAAATAATTGAAATTGAATTCCTCGGAAGAATTTGATTTTTAAAAAAATTTTTAATATACAATATTTCGAATAAATTCAATTATTTTCTAAAATCTTAATAAATCCTTCGAAACAATTCAATTATTTTTATAAATGGCAAAAATGCTTCGCAAGAATTCAATTATTTTTATAAATAGTAAAATTCTTTGCAGGAATTCAATTATTTTCCAAACATTTTTAATTGAATTTCTCATAAGAATTCAAATATTTTCAAATATTTCCATAAAATTCAATTATTTCCTAAAATTTTTAATAATTTCTTCGACACAATTCAACTATTTTTATAAATATTAAATTCTAAATAAATTTTCAAAATTTAAAATAAAAAAAGAGATTTAATAATTGAAATTTTGTAAAATTTAATTGAAAATAATCGATTTTTTTCAAAGTGTTTGATAAAAATTATTGAAAATAAACTTTAAAATAATTTTAATGGCAAATCTTGAAAATAATTGATTTCTCAAAAATTTTAATGAAAAATCTTCAAGTGTAAGTTTAAAAATGGTAATTGATGAAAATTAGCTACAAAAAAGTTATATTAAAATATTTTTGAAAATAATAATTCTTAGAATTTTTTGCATTATAATTTTTTAAAATTCCAATATTTTCAATATTTTCAAATACAAATTTCAAAAAATTCAAATAAATGCAAAAAATAATAACATTAAAATTTTTTACAATTACTTTTAACATTTTAACAACATATGACTTTTTTTAGATTTACTAAAATTTCGAAGAAATCGCGTTTATATTAATAATTAAAATTCTTTAAAAAATTCAATTATTTTTTTAATGGAATTTACCCAATTGCAATTGTTTGGAAATTTTTCAATTCTATATAATTGAAAAACTATTATCTTTCATAAATTATTTTAAAAATATTTTTGAAAAATTAATTTTAAGAATTTCTTTATTATAATTTTTTGAAAATTAATTAATAACTTAAAAAAAAGACATAAATTGAGAGTAATTTAAAATAGACTAATAAAGTTTAACTATATTTTTTTATGGATTTTTAATTTGGAAAAAAACGTTTTTTACCCATAATTTTAAAAAAAATATTAGGAAACCCAGTCAGTGGATATTATTAAAACTTGTTACTTGAGGGTTTTTGGGATCGCTAATTACGAATCTAAAGTCAGATTTTCAAAATTCAAAATGGCGGATCCAATATGGCGGACATTTATTCCGAAATTGATCAAATTTGCACAAAATTTGTTACCCGGGGGTAATCGCTTTGATTCATCTGTTTTTTCACCTAATTCGATCAGAAATACGAAATTATTGTTAATTATTGAAAACCAAAAATTATGGAAAATAATAATTTGACAAAATTTATAGTAAAAAAATAATTTTGTAAAAGCAGAAGTGTTTAATGTAATAAAATTCATGTAATAATAAGAAAATAAAATGATAAAAAAAAATCACAATGAAGAAGCAAAGTGTTTATGAACTTGAATCCAATAAATTCATCTTTTAACTTGGCAACGGTTTTATTTTTTATAAGATACTTATTTTGAAGTAGGTAATACACTGATCAAATTTTCATTCAAAACTGCAGCAATAAATCAAAGAATTTAGAAGATTGTGCTAGACATTTAATAACTTTCAAAAGAACGTTTTAATAATAGCGTGCAACATGCATGTGTTTTCGAATTAAATACTTATATTGGTATGAATTTAAAATTTATAACTTTCTCTTATAAATAATAATTCTCAATCGAGATAAGTTCACGTATTTGTAATAATATTCTTTTAATGAGCATTATAGTTTTTTTTACTTTCAATATTTTTTCTTATTATAAACATCTTGCTGTTTATAAATAAGTAGAAGCTGTCTTAATAAGATGGTACAAAAAAGTAAAAATAGTCAACATATCCTAGTATGTCAATTTCGGGATTTTACCGGATTGTCAACGGGAATGTGGTTCTATTGCGCTATTAAAGGATTATTTAAGTCTAAAAAATTTTCATTCTTTCAAAAATTCCACAGTGGTCTAACTTTTTAAAAAATTTTCTGAATTGTCAGTAATGAAGAATCTTTAGATTTTGTTCATAGTCAGGAAGAACTATAACTTTGTTTCGCTTTCAGATGTCAGGATTTGTGCTGATGTCATGTGGAGCATTACTCTTAGCAGACAGCCATCGCGTTTTGCTTTCGCGACTACTGGGATCAGAAGAAATTTACCAGGATCAACCAATGTTTTATTACTTTGCTTTCATCATTGTAGGCGTGGGATTAATTATTTCAGTCACTGGTCTTTTAGGCTGTTGGGCAACGTGTCTACACAATTGTTGTATAACAACGACGGTAAATTTTCTTAAATTCCAATCTTCTATATTATCATCAATTTCCACTATGTTAAAAATTTGATTTTGCCTTTTTAAAAAAAGTAAAATGTTCAAATATGCCTTGGACTAAATTACGAATCGAATATAAAAATTTCAATTTAACGAGATTACTAGAAAGTATTTTTTTGACTGTTTTCCAAAACAGTGTTCCTTAATGTTGATTTTGCAGGAAATGGTATAAAGTTTTATCATTTCTAAACTTATGTCCCAATCTCGTAAAGTGTAATAATTGCTGTAATAATAAATTTTTAGAACCTCGTTCTTTATCTGATTATCTTAAGTGTGACGCAGTTAAACGTCGAACCTACAAGGTCCGTTAGGATACTATGAAGAATCTCTAAAATTAAGATATTTAAAAACTAGTATTGTATACACACAAAAACTCTTGTGTATGTTCTCCTTTAGAATTCGAAAATTTTTAAGTTTTAATAGAAAATTATTTTTTGCAGTATATCCTAATGATTATCTTACTCATGATGGTGGAGATTTCAATTTGCACTGTGGTGATATTTTTCCCACAATATTTGGGTATTGATTTGAAACCATCACGTCTGATACGAGCCCTACAGCGAAATTATGCAGTTCCTGGACGTGAGCAATTTACCGCTGCGCTTGATTTAGCACAATCAGTGGTTAGTATTTGCTATTTTTATGATTTAAGCAGAATACGCGAATTGTAACCAAAAAAAAGGATCCTTTCAAGAATAGCCTAATAAATCAAAATACCGGAGTGGAAGACAATTTATCTAAATATTTTAATGTTTCTAGTTTTCATGCTGTGGCATAAATGGTAGCAGTAACTACGGAACTTCCTGGTGGCGATTGCAAGAAGTCGGTCGGAGGGAATTAGTCGTTCCGCTCACTTGTTGCACTCTTAATAATGTTTCTGTTATTGATGCTTTTCTCAATCCGGAGCCATCTAATCTCACACTTTGCCAGGCACTTAACCCAGCAGAGCATTTACAAGCTAGACATCTAAATGTAATTATGAATTAATTTAAAAATGGATTCGCCTCAGTATATTATAATCTATGGAATTGTTAGTAATTATCTCGCCTTACAGGGTTGCTTGGAAAAAATTGAAAACTGGACAGACGAGCAGGAATTAATTTTACTTACAACCGTATTAGGTCTAATGTTCATTGAACTTTGTGCTCTCTCCAGTACTTTGTTTGCCTGCTTGAAATCGAAGAAGTCAAAGAAAAATCATACGTCCGCTTTCACTTCAACGCAAACTCTCAGTCCCTTCAGTGAAAGTGAACATGAATTCGGTATTTACTAACTTTTCACTAGCAATACTATCATTATTGCAACATTTATCTATCTGTTCATTATTATTGATTCGAATTTTTAGGAATGGGTATCGAGAATCGGATGCACATGGCAGGAACAACATTTGGTGCAAAATCATGAAGACGGCTTGAGGGCAGCGAGGTACCAACTATATCAGTCGCAGGAATAAAACGAATCGAAAAAATACCATACAACACTAATGGACGCAGTGTTATCGAAGAGTGGCAAGACTCCAACAAAGGGATTACTTACATTATTCCTACTGACCAACACTACGAGGAAAGAGCAATTGACGTAGTTCCCAGCTCTTCCTGCACAATAAGGACAAGTTTAAATCGCAAAAAATCTTCCATCCCAAGATCAAAGTCTTCAACTCGTAGCATTAAAAAAAAGTCAAAGAATACGATTCAAAAAGATCATTGTGCTTCAAAGAAGCGAAATTCGATTCAAAGGGTTCATCATGATAGTAAACATGATACTAAACATACTTTTAGTCATGACAGACAAAGATCAATGATAGATTCCCCATCTACGATCGATGTGGAAAGTTCCGAGGGGATCCCCCTAATAAATAAGAAAGATCACATTAAGAAACGTAACAAATTAAACAAACGTTCAACACCTTCAGAATCAGCAAATGAAGACGGAAGTATCGACAGTCTTGAATGTTGCAACGTAGTCGATCATCAAAAACAAGATCCTCGACAGCAAACCGACATTCGAAGTTCAAAACGAAAAGATACATTCAACAAATTCAGTGAATCCAACATTAATAGAATGTCAACAAAAAGAATTGTTTCCCAAAGAGCAACCTGTTGCACTCAACTGGAGGAAAAAGTTGACTCCAGATTAGGAATGACTGAAATACCAAGATTTAAAACATTAGGTGTACCCCTAGTTGGAATGCATAATGCTTGTGGACTTCCAGTGTTTGCCCATTGGCAAAAACAAAATATTTCCCGATCCCTAAGAAAGCCAAGTTCACGAAATCACATGCACGATAATAATTCAAATCGAATGATAAACCATTCACGTGATTCACATAAACGCCATAATTCCAGCGAGGCGGATTTCAAATCTGAATGGATAATGATTAAAGAAACGAATCGACCATATTCTTCAGCGAGCCACAATCGGAAACGTCCATCATTTAAAGTTGTTAGAGTTGGTACATTGTCAACAACGAAAAAAATTGCGAAGAACAGTAAAGATAATTCGAAGAAGGAATCAATTATTTACAGATTTGGAGGATCTTTTGGACGACGTAGTGTTAAGAGAACGGCACTTTACGCTAAAAATGGAGAAGAAGCTGTAAGTGCACTTAAGAAATTGTGCCTTAATCCTCTTGGTCGAAGTAGTAAGGGCGATGTGATGATCTGGTGACGATTTTTCACTTCTGTTGAACATAAATTGATCGGTACAGTTTTCAATTAAGATGCTGATAGTTGGATGCAAGTTACAGCTTCAAAGTATTTAACATTAAAATTCCAAAATTGGGTGCTGATCAAAATTAGGTGCCTAATTTTGATCAGCACCCAATTTTGAAATTCTAATGTTAAACGAAAACAAAATGAAAGTAAGAAAGTGGAAAATTACTAATTGAATATAAATTGTCTATCCAAATGATCTTAGATTTTATATACTTGTCTATTTCTGTAGATAAGTGTATGTGATATTTAACACCTGTTAAAGTAATGAATGCTGTTCGAGAAAGAGTCTATTTTTTTAAAACCTCTGTTACTGCATATGTACAATAATGGTGTGAACGTGATAGATAGTTAGGGAAATCCTTATATTTTTTAATGTTTCTGAAAAATAGCCTCGTTGCCCTCCACTTTAAAGTGACTGGTCCATCACTTTTTAGAAATAAATTAATTTTCTAAAATATGATTTTTATACAGTTTAATTAATTATTTAGTTTATATGTATATAAGAAAATTAATCTAATCTATAATTAAATCTATAAGTATACAATAGAGTTATAATGCTAAAATAATCTTTTACTAAAGTAACAGATACTTTTTGTAGATATTTTAAAATATGTTTACTCCTTTTGTACCTAATGAGAATAAATTTAAGAAAACACTGTGTAAATTATGAATTTTAATATTAAAACATTCTGAACATAAAGAATAAAATAGATTTAACAAAATCTGTTGTCAACCAGGTAGGCATGTCTTCGCGCTTTCTTTTTGATAGTGACTATCAAGTGAACTACTTATTAAATTACAGATGTTAGTTATCCGCGGCCGATAAAACAGAACTCAAACTTATGCACAATCACTGTTAGTTTTTAATCCAATATATTCCCGCTGACGTGTTTTGACAGGAGCAAAACAATATAATAGTTTTCGTCATAGTGATGTTTATTTGTTAAAATATTAATTTTTAAAAAGATGTCAGTTTTTCGTACGATACATGTGTATCTAAAATCGATATTATAAACTGTATCTCTGTTTTAAGATTAGCTCTTAGACAATGTGATGAGAAATCGAATGAGGAGCCAATATTGTATTTTATCAGGCCTTTTATGCGAATGATAATCTTATAAACAGAGTCCTTTATACTAAAAAAAACCGTGAAGTTAAAATTACCAGAACCATGCAGTAAAAATCATGATCTTGTACGAGAAAAAGTCTTACACTTACAGTCTATTAATAGAACTGGAATGATAATTTTTTTCAAACTACACTTAAAAAAAATCGTTGTGGAGTAGCAAACGTTTATGAATTTAACAGAAATGAAATCAAATCGCACTTATTCTTAGCTATGACTGAAAAATATAAACGAATTGAAAAATTTGAAGAAACCATTGGAAATCAGAAAGTAATTCATATGACAGTTGAAGCTATCGAAGAAGTTCCAAAAGAAAAAAAATAATGATAAACATGGTGAATGTTCTAAATTCTTTTTATAATGCGTGATAAAAAATATTATATTGATATGAATATTAAAAAGCAATTGCTTACAATTTTTTCTTCATATATTTCTAATACCCGAATGTATCTCTATATTTAAAATTTGCTATTAGAAATGAAATTCTAAATATTATGTATATTTCAAGAGAAAATAATTTACAAGAATTTGTAAAATTTTCAATTTTCTTTCCACAAAGTAAAATATTGTTATCTTCAAATATTATTTTACATAAAAGTCAATAAAATGCAAATTTTCCAAAAAATGAAACTTCTCTTTATATACTTAGGGGCCGTCGATAAACTACGTCACGCCTTAGAGGGGGGGGGGTGGAATTAATTTTTTGTGACGTTCTGTAAAAAAAATGGCGCTAAAGCATGTAAAATTTGTGACGTGGGTAGGGGGGGGGGGTGGAAAAATTATGCAAAATAGTGTGACGTAGTTTATGAACGGCCCCCTATATACTTCTTTATATACTATTGTTATTTGTAAACTATAGGGTTAAGAGTGAAGCAAATAATTTTTTTTTATATTGAGAAAAATTATCAACGACGAAACAGTTACTACATTCGTGCTTACTTCATTACCGGCGATTTAAAAATTTTTAACGATATTTGAGAACATATCCGATAGATGTCTCTCGTCAGTGATATGAGCATCAAACGGTTAGTTGAATAAAACAATCGAATAAGCAGAAATCTGCATCTAACTTCAACAGAGTTTTTATGTACCTTGTGTCGATAATAATGAAAGTCGTGAATTTTTACAGATTATCGAGACGTTAATAATTTTCAGAGGTTCTAAAAATTTTCACCGCGGTTGTATTGTATAATTAATTTTCAATACAAAACTTTCTGTACTTTTTTTTATTTAATATAAGTGTAGCATAACTGTATTGTACTGTAATAATATTACAGTGTTCCTGAAATAATATAGTAATTTTACAGAAATTCTACAATTTTTATACATTAATGTTACAATAATGTTACATTAATGTTACAATAATGTTACATTAATGTTACATTAATGCTACATTAATGTTACATTAATGCTACAGTCATATTAACAGTAATGTCACAGTTATGTTACAGTACTGTTACAAACAGTAAAGCTACATTATTGTTAAAATAGGGTTACAATAATGCTACAGCATTATTACAGTAATGTTACAGTTATATTACAGTATTACAGTAATGTTTCAGTAATCTTACAATAATACTCTAGTATTGTTACAATAATAAAACAGTAAAGTTACAGTATTGTTACATTAGTGCTACAGTACTGTTATAATTTTTTTTACAATAACGTTACAATAGTATTACAGAAATTCTACAATATAGCCTAAAGTAATATTATAGTAGAGTTACAATAATTCTACAGTAATGCAACATTAAGTATTACAGTAATGCAACATTAAGTATTACAGTAATGCAACATTAGAATTGCAGTAGTGATACAGTACTGTTACAATAATGCTACAGTAATGCAGCATTAAGTATTAGAGTAATAATACAGTATACTGTTACAATAATGCTATACAGTAATGTTATAACAATACCTGTGATATTATTATTTTGACACCAGTTTATTTCGAAAATGTTTAATTTTAAAGCACACAAGAGTGCCCCAAGAGTACCTCTAAATGTTACGTAAGATGAAAACAAACAAAAAAAAAGGCGGTCCTTTAATTCAGTCCAAAAGTTTTCATTTATAGAAACTAAAATAATTCATTTTACGATTTGTTCTTCCGGCTAGTGCGGTGATAGTAGTTTGGAAATTTATCCAACAGATGACGATATGAAAAAAAATAAAAAAAAAACAGATAACATTTTTTTTTTTGAGAGAGTCGAGTGAGAATGTCATGCGACTCGATTATCTCTCTATATACAAAACAACTGTTTATATTTGAGGCTATGGCAGGCAGGGTTTGTACGATCCTGATTGCCGTTGAAGCCGGCTTGGAATGCGCGCGCATCCATGAGACTGGTAACAGGTGGTTCACGGTGGTTGGCTGAATTTTCCGGCTCTCTTCAACCAAACGTTCTCACAAGCCGGCAGCAGTAGCAGCACTGCACGATAGTTCCACTAAAAACCACGTGCATACCAACTTACATTCATCCAAGTTGTAACTGGCACTGTTGTTCATTCGCGCGACAGACGCGCCCACAGATGGATGTTCGTTTAGAAAAGAAAAATTAATATTTCTTATTTTGTGTATTAAAAAAAACAAGTGTTAAAAAAAAGTGATTTGTTTTTTTTTTTCTTGGGCGGGAATTGGAAATATTTTTTTCAAAAATTATTTCTTTTAAGGGTGTAAGTTGAGAAAAAAAAATTTTTTTTTCATTCAACATTTTTGCCGGCCCTGAAAAGTGCTGATTGCGCGAGTGTCGGCATCGATCGGCGCGACTTATGTTTCTTTCAGTGAGTGTACAGTATTCAGTGCGCGCTTACGGATTCACTATATAGGGAACCACCCCCTTAATTCAGGAATTACTTTCCAACCCACCCCACTTTCTCTCTCTCTCTCTTTCTTCACCCAGAGTTTCTCAACAGCCTGTTGATCAATTCTTGCACGAAAAATCTAGTCTTGTGTGTTTTGAATTTTTTTTTTTCCACTGAATCGTTGCTTCTGCATTTCTCTGAGGAAGAACCTTTCAAGGCCTACAACCGGTATCTTATAGAAATTCCACTGGATCAAGAGGCTTTAATACCGTTTTTTTATTCTCTCTCAACAGGGTAAGTTTTCTCTTTTTTAAAAAAAAAAAACTTAGGAACCGAAAAATCCAGATGTTACACTAAGAGGAAAATTTTTTTTTTTTATTTTATTAAAGAGAAAAATTGAAATATAAAAATTGAAGTTTTTAAAAAATGTCTATTTTCCCTTTTGGCAAAGTTTTAATTGAAAAATATGTTTGGAAATTCGAGGAACACGTGCTTTTTAGATTGCACCGCCGCCATATTGAATTATGCGCTTTAACTTAATAAAACAGATGGTTGATTAAAAAAAGCTTTTCAAAAATACTGGGTCAAATAATTAAGGAACTGAAAATATTTAATTTTAATTAATTCAAAATAAAAAAAATACAAAATAATTTTCTCCTTTTTCAAATTTTTTAAAAAATTTTGTTCCCTTATCGAAAAAATTTTTCATTTTCCCCAACATAAGGTAAAGAGATTACTAAAAAATTAATAATTAAAAAAGAATTTTTTTTTTTTATTCTTTTTTTTTAATTACTGAAAAAATGATTTTTACAAAATAGTTAAGCGAATTTGGAAAGTTACCTGATGGTGGAAAATCAGCAATTACATCAGCAATTACTTTCGAGTAAAATTAGAAAAATGGAAAAACTATTAAAAAAAAATTTGTTGATGAATTTTCCTTATTTGGCAGGAAGAGGGGGGGAAAAAGAGTCATATTTACGAGAAATATATAAGAAAGAGTGATAATTACTTTTAGAGATGAAATTAATGACGGTTTCCGGCCAGTGATTTTTCCCGAAAGAACCCAACACGTTTTTCATAACGATTGTTTACAAATAAATACACAGAAAGTTTAGTGGAGGGGCGAAAGCAGCAGTTGTCCGTTATTCTCTTACCAATTCAGTTGATACAGTTCCTGGCACCGTACCGCATGATTGTGCGGAAATAAATATAAATGGAAGCTTCAAAAAACGAAAGAAAATGCGGGCACTAACACAAAAATATGTATACATGTCATTTCTATCCAAAAAAAAAAATTTTAACAAGGAACATTTTTCTGAAAATGAACCCACATATTATTGTATTCAATGGCAATAGATCAGTGGACAGGGGGAAAATTTTGTGAAAATTAGTCTTTGATGTTTGACCATAGAAATTGACGAGCAAAAATAAGGGCGTCGAAATTTTTTTTTTTTTTTTGAAAATCACATAGTTTTTTTATTTTTGAAACTTTTAGGTTCTATCGATTGACACTTGAAGAATCTTTTCTGTAAATTTCAAAAAAAAATTCAATACTTAGTATATTTGGTAATTTTGGTAAAAAATGTAATTTCTTTCGATGGAGGAATAAAAGAATATTTTTGCCGAATTTTTTTTAAAGACAAATGGCATTATTTTCTTTAAAACTTTTACGTAGTATCAAGTGATACTTGAAGAATATTTTCTGAAAATTTGATTAAAAAATTTTAATATTTTAGAATATAATTAGAATTTTTTGTAAAAATATAATTTCCTCGATAAAGCAAAAAAAAAAAAAAACGTTTTTCGAATTTTTTTTTTTCAAGCCGTAAGAATAAATTTACTTTGAAACTTTTACATAATATAAAGTGATACTTAAAGAACATTTACAAAAAAAATATATGAAAAAATATTAATATTTAAAAAAGTAATTCGTAATATTGTGAAAGAAGTAAAATTTATTCAATAGGATTTTTTTTTGACAGACGAATGAAAATTTTTCTTTGAAACTTTTACAGAATATCAAGTGATACTTGAAGAATATTTTCCAAAAGTTTCCCGAAAAAATATTAATATTTTACAAAATAATTAGTTTTTTTTTAAATATCAACTTTCTTCCGTTACAGCAAAAATAAGTTTTTTTTTACACAGAAAAATTTTTATTTCACATATTTGACAATTCTTTGAATTCAGAAGTATTTTTCCTTGTGACGTCTCACAGCATTTCTGTTTATTAACAAATACATAAAATTATCTTTACAAAAAAGTAAACCTAACCTAAAATTTTTATTTTTCTAGAAAAATTTAAACGCACAAAACAATTAAAATTCACTTTTTCGAAAAAGGAAATTCTTCACAAACTTTTTTCCACAATCAAAAAGTAAAGAGAATTTTATTGCTAATAATAAAATAGCATTAGATAAATTTTTATTATTTCTTCAAAAAAAAAACAGAAATTTCGATAATTTTTTTTTCTTTTTTATTTTGAAACGAGAAAACGACGATTAGATGACATAAATATATGACATCATGAGACATGCCCTTAGGTTGAAAATTCCCGACAAAAGGAGTTAGGTTCTTATTCATTCAGCAGTACACGACGATTGCATTTCATGATAATGCACTTAACCTACAAAGAAGGGTCCGTTGCTCCCATTGCTGTGCGGAGAGACTACTGTACGTGTATATTATAAGAGCGTTAATAACAATATGTGCACAGCTCGCGCATATAGAGGGAATATTTAGTATTAGTAAAAATTCTATAACTGCTTTCCACGGTTTGAAAAGATTAGATTATAACTTAATTATACAAATAGGTTATGTATACATATATAGACGCAGAAAGTGTATAAAAAACAGAATTAAATTATACTCGAAACAAAATTCTATATATATTTTAATCAAAAATAATTTTTTTTAAGTTCCCTTTTAGATTTTCTCGTGTTAATTCAATCTGCGATTATGTTTTTGAAATTCAACAACTTTTTAATTATTTATTACAAAACATGAAGAAAGGGATTACTCCGAGTCGAAGTCTTCGACTCGGAAAAAAATTTTTTTAAAATAAATAAATAAAAAAATTTTTTTTTTATTTAATAAATTTATTTTTAAATTTTTTATTTTTTTAATCCCTTTCTTCATGTTTTATAATAAATAATTAAAGTTGTCCGAATAATAATTCAATTCAATTCTAATTTTCTAGAATTTTTAACTAAAATTCTTCTTTAAATCAATTATTTATAATAATTCAATTAAATATTGGACATAATAAAAATAAATAAAAAAATAATTTTTCAAAAAGTTCTTTAAGAATTTTTAAATCCAATATTTAAGAGTCAATTTTATGAAATTTCAATTATTAGGAAATTCTTCAATTAAATATTGTATTTAGAAACTAAAAACTTGAAAATAATTTCAACAAAAAATTCAATTAAACTTTTTTAACGTTTCACAAGTTTTGAACGTTCAAATGAACGAAACACTTTTTATTAAAAATATTTTCATCAATTATTGATTGTAATGAAATTTAAAAACTTAAATATTGTATATGGAGAAACTTTATAATTAATTTTATTCATATAGTGACACAAAATATTTTAATAAAAATTTAATTTGAAAATGAAAAAAATAAATTTCGTTCATTTGAACGTTCAGAACTTTAGGATCATCTTTTTTAAAGAAAATAATTTTACTCATTAGTTAAAAGTATGAAAAATTATAAATTTTTAAAGATTTTAAATTGAAACCGTTTCGAAATTCAATCATTTCTAAAAGTTCGCTATACTGCTTATTAATATTCATTTGATATCTAAAATTTTAACTGAAATTCATTTTTATGAAATGAAAATCAGTTTTTTTATAAAAAATTCCACGAGAATTGAATAATTATTTAAAAACAAAAATAAATAATTTATTCAATATTTTGAATGTTATTTTTAAAATTGAATTCCATAAAAGAATTTTACCAGCAAATTTTTAAGTAATTGAATTCTTTTGACGAATTTTATTAAAATTTTCAAAAATAATTACATTTTTCGAGGAATTCAATATTAAAATTGTTATTTAAAAAAATTCAAATTTTGAGATTGGTTTTATTATTTATGAAAATAATTGAATTTCTGCAAACATATTTGTAACTTCTTCGAAATTCAATTTTTTAATGACTTTTAACTAAAATTTTTCTTGAAATCAATTATTTTTAATAATTTTTTAAAGTTTAACTAAAATTCATATATTTAAATCAATTTTTATTAGAAAATTCAACGAGAATTCAATTATTTAAATAAAAAAGTAAATAATTTATAGAAATAATTAAATGTTTCTTAAAGTTGAAATCTCATGAAGAATTTTATCAATAAATTTTTAAATAATTGAATCCTTTCGACGAATTTTACTAAAATTTTACATTTTTCGTTGGAATTTGATAGAAATTGTATAAAAATTAATTGAAATTCTACGATGAATTTTTTTATTTATTAAAATAATTGAATTCCTCAAAAGAATTTTATTATTTTTAAAAATAATTGAATTATTGCGAAGAAATTTATAAAAAAATTTGTAAATAATTGAATTTTTGTGAAATTTTTATTATTTATGAAAATAATTAAAAGTTTGCGTAGAATTTTATAAAATTTGTTTTTAAATAATTGAATTTTGTTGGGAAATTTTTTGAAAATAATTGAAATTTTACATAAAATGTTATTAAAAATTTATGAAAATAATTGGATTTCTGTGAAATTTTTATTGTTTATGAAAATAATTGAAAGTTTGCGTAGAATTTTATTAAATTTGTTTTCAAATAATTGAATTTTGTTGGGAAATTTTTTGAAAATAATTGAAATTTTACAAAAATGTTATTAAAAATTTATGAAAATAATTGAATTTCTGTGAAATTTTTATTGTTTATGAAAATAATTGAAAGTTTGCGTAGAATTTTATAAAATTTGTTTTTAAATAATTGAATTTTGTTGGAAAATTTTTTGAAAATAATCGAAATTTTACAAAAAATGTTATTAAAAATTTATGAAAATAATTGAATTTCTGTGAAATTTTTATTGTTTATGAAAATAATTGAAAGTTTGCGTAGAATTTTATTAAGTTTGTTTTCAAATAATTGAATTTTGTTGGGAAATTTTTTGAAAATAATTGAAATTTTACATAAAATGTTATTAAAAATTTATGAAAATAATTGGATTTCTGTGAAATTTTTATTGTTTATGAAAATAATTGAAAGTTTGCGTAGAATTTTATTAAATTTGTTTTCAAATAATTGAATTTTGTTGGGAAATTTTTTGAAAATAATTGAAATTTTACAAAAATGTTATTAAAAATTTATGAAAATAATTGAATTTCTGTGAAATTTTTATTGTTTATGAAAATAATTGAAAGTTTGCGTAGAATTTTATAAAATTTGTTTTTAAATAATTGAATTTTGTTGGAAAATTTTTTGAAAATAATCGAAATTTTACAAAAAATGTTATTAAAAATTTATGAAAATAATTGAATTTCTGTGAAATTTTTATTGTTTATGAAAATAATTGAAAGTTTGCGTAGAATTTTATTAAATTTGTTTTCAAATAATTGAATTTTGTTGGGAAATTTTTTGAAAATAATTGAAATTTTACAAAAAATGTTATTAAAAATTTATGAAAATAATTGAATTTCTGTGAAATTTTTATTGTTTATGAAAATAATTGAAAGTTTGCGTAGAATTTTATTAAATTTGTTTTCAAATAATTGAATTTTGTTGGGAAATTTTTTGAAAATAATTGAAATTTTACAAAAAATGTTATTAAAAATTTATGAAAATAATTGAATTTCTGTGAAATTTTTATTGTTTATGAAAATAATTAAAAGTTTGCGTAGAATTTTATTAAATTTGTTTTCAAATAATTGAATTCGTATGGGAAATTTTTTATTAAAAAATAGTAGATATTGCGAATCATTGAATTGAGGAAAATTTTTGAAAATAATTGAATTTTAGAGAAGAATTTTATTATTTTTAAAAATAATGGAGTTTTTGAGGAGAATTTAAAAATTTTTTATTAAATAATTGAATTTCTTCGAAGAATTTTATTACTTTTTAAAATAATTGAATTTCTGTGAAATTTTTATTATTTAATTTGAAATTGAATTCTTTCGGGAAATTTTATTAAAATAGAAAATATTAAAAATCATTGAATTAAGGAAAATTTTTGAAAATAATTGAAATTTTATCAAAAATTTAAAAAGAAATTTTGAAAATAATTGAATTTCAGAGAAGAATTTTATTATTTATATAAATAATTGAGATTTTGATAAGAATTTAAATAAATTTTTTTTTAAATTATTGAAGCGAAGAATTTTATTACTTTTAAAAATAATTGAATTATTATTGCGAAGAAATTTTTATAAAATTGGTAGATAATTGAATTTCTGTGAAGAATTTGATTACTTTTGAAAATAATTGAATTTGCACTTAATCAATTTTAACTTTCTCCAAAATTCAATTTTTTTAAAGTGTTTTTATCTAAAATTCTTCTATAAATTCATTATTTTTACTAATTAATTAAACGCGTATATAAAAAAATTTAACTATAATAAAATTTCAGAAGAATTTTAATTATTAAAATTTTCCAAAAATCTAAGTTTTTTAAAATTTTTAATTAAAAATTAAATTCATTTAGAAGTGAAATTTTATAAAATTTCAAATTGAAATCTTTTGAAGTTGATCTATATTTATGAAAATTGTAGACTCAATTTTTTTTTTTAAATTCAATTAATTTTGAAATATTTAAGTAAAATAAATAGTAAATAATTTCTAATTCATAATTTTTATATGATAAGTTTTTGGAAGAATTAAGTTATTTATTTAGAAAAAAAATAAGAATTAAGTTAGTCAAAAAAGAAATTATTGTCGCAGAAAGAGAAAAAATTTTTAAAAAAAGGCTTTGCATTAGAATTAGTTGGTAATTTCAAAGTTTACGAGGCAAAGAAAAAAGAAAGAAAGTCATTTAAAATGATGAGGTAAGAAGGTACATTTAGTTTTTTCGTTAATCTTCTACCAGTATATTGTTACGTTACATTTTAAATTTAATTAATATGATGATATACGAAATAATTATCTGTAATAAAGTAGTGATTACGTGCATATGTTTATTACTGTTTTAAAAATTACAAAACATAACAAATAGATACTAAATTTATAAACATATACTCTTTACCTCTATATAGGTATACCTATAAGTTCTATGTATATTATATTTCTTATCTTCTTTTTCAGTCTTTTTGATGCTTTGTATCATATCAAAACTGATAATCTCCATGTTAACATCTGACCATATTCTTTTGATCTCTATAATTTACGCGGCAGATTTAACTTAAGAATACAAATAATTAAATCGTGTTTAAACCCATAACTTTTTTTTTTACTATTATTATATTATAATTTGTAATATAATAATTATATTTTTTATTATTAGAATAGTAATTAATAACTATTTAGTCATGACTATATAATCTTTCATTATATTGACTATTGCTTCCTTATATAGTTTCATTCGTCGTCAATCGTAGTTACGCATGCGCAGTAGTCTTTTGTTACAGTTACGCATGCGCAGTAGTCTTCTGTCGCAGTTACGCATGCGCAGTAGTCTTCTGTTACAGTTACGCATGCGCAGTAGTCTTCTGTTACAATTACGCATGCGCAGTAGTGTTCTAACGCAATTACACATGCGCAGTACTATTTTTATCACAGTTAAGCATGCGCAGTAGTATTCTATTACAATTACGTATGCGCAGTACTAAAAATTAACAACTTTTCTTTCAATTATATATTACCCAGCTATTAAATAACACTTTTTTCTTTTTTTAATACATATTTTATAATACATTATATTATTATAATATTATCTTTATAAATATAAATAAAATTCTTCTCTAAAATTCAATTATGTATTTTCAAAAATTTTAAGAAAATTCTTGGTAAAATTTAAATTATTTTCAAAAAATTTTCCTTAAATTCAATGATTTTCAATATTTTCTATTTTAATAAAATTTCCCAAATGAATTCAATTATTTTAAAAACCTTTGCTACAATTTATTTATTACAATTTAAGTATTATTTTTAATACATTTTTAATATTAAATTTCTTCAATAAATTAAATTATTTTCAAAAATTTTAATGAAATTCTTTGTAACAATTCACTTTTTTTCAAAATAATTTTAATAACATTCTTTGTGAAAATTTAATTAATTTCAAAAATTTGTCAAAATTCAATTTTATTTTCAATGTCTACTATTTCAATAAGATTTCACCAAAGAATTCAATTATTTAAAAATTTTTTGATAAAATTCTTTAATAAAATATTTATTTTTGTATTTAAATAATTGAATTCTCGTAGAATTTTCTAATAAATATTGATATAAAAATGAATTTCAATTTCAATTTAAGATTATAATTATTGAATATTGAAAGCATTATAGGCGTGAATTTTTAGAAATAATTGAATTTTCAAAAGGTTTCAAAATTAAAATCTCTTTGAAAATTTGAACTTTTCATACGTTTAATTAAAAATTCTGTAGAATTAATATTTTTTTTTAAATTTAATGGAATATTTTTTTTAATTATCCGTGGTTTTTAATTTCTAATATGATGATGATTTACAAATTTTTTTATAAATTTCTTCGCAATAATTCTATTATTTTCATAAATAATAAAATTCTTTTTAGGAATTCTATTATTTTAATAGATAGAAAAACTCATCGTAGAATTTTAAGAAACATTCAATTATTTCAATAAATTATTTATTTTTTCATTTCAATAATTGAATTCTCGTTGAATTTTTTAATAAAAATTGATTTAAAAATGAATTTTTAGTTAAACTTTAAAAAATTATTAAAAATAATTGATTTCAAGAAAAATTTTACTGAAAAGCCATTAAAAAAATTGAATTTTGAAGAAGTTACAAATGTTTGCAAAAAAAAAAAAAATGTTTTCAAAAAATTTTTCAAATTCTCGTGAAAATTTAAATTATTCTTTATAAATAATAAAATTCTTCTCTGAAATTCAATTATTTTCAAAAATTTTCTTCAATTCAATGATTTGCAATATTGTACTATTTTTTAATAAAAAATTTTTCAAAAGAATTCAATTATTTAAAAACAAATTTAATAAAATTCTACGCAAACTTTCAATTATTTTCACAAAATAATAAAAATTTCACAGAAATTTAATTATTTACAAATTTTTTAAAATAAATTTCTTCGCAATAATTCTATTATTTTCATAAATATAATAAAATTCTTTTTAGGAATTCAATTATTTTAATAATTAAAAAAATTTATCGTAGAATAATTCAATTATTTTTAATACAATTTTTATCGAATTCCTCGAAAAATGTAATTACAAATTTTAGTAAAATTCGTCAAAAGGATTCAATATTATTTAAAAATTTATTGATAAAACTTTTCATGAGAATTCAATAATTTTAAGAAACATTCAAATTATTAAATAAATTATTTATTTTTGTATTTAAATAATTCAATTCTCGTAGAATTTTCTAATAAATATTGATTTAAAAAGAATTTGAAAATTTTAGAAATGAATTATAATCGTATAGTAATGAAAATAATTTTTAAAGTTTTTTTTTTTTTTATTTTTTATGAAAAAATAATAATTATTAAATAATACAAAAATTTCATTTTCGAAAAGTATAAATAAATTCGTATTTAAAAATATGTTTTCAATAATAACTGCGATGATCTATTATTGCATCCACTCCTTTCGCCAGTTCTCAGACATTGATTTTATTATTGTTGCATTATCAATTTTTTTTCTGTAATTAATTTCCTTGTTCGTTTTATCGATTTAGAAAAATTTTCCTTGTTACTATGCGTCTGGTATTTTTCCTTCCAAAAAAAGATTATAAAATTAATTTATTTTTAGTGTCTATTTTTTTTTTGAATGTTTCAAAAATTAGGTTTTAAATGGATTTTATTTTTAGTGGCAATTAATTTTTTTTTTTTTTTTGAATGTTTGAAAAATCAGGTTTTTAAATGGATTTTACAATAGAAAGGAGAAAAAAGATTTTTGAAAGAGATAATAATGTTGCGACCTTGACTGATTTTTCTTTTTCTAAACTAACCTGTCTGTTTTTTTTTTTAATTTGTAGATTTTCTTGGAGAAATCTTAACATGAGTGAATTTTGAGAGTTTCTTTTTTGAACTCTCGGAATTGGGTCTGATTTATATATATTGGTGCGGAGTGGAAAAGGATACAAGGGGAGGATCATGGAATTTTACGACGTGGGAAGTAGCGACTTAAGGGAGCTATGGGATACCTATCTAGTAGAACCGGTAAGTTAAACCCTCATGATTTGAATCTCAGGAATTTTTCTCCTTTTATTTTCACCATCCCCTATATATATATAGCTTTATACTTTCTTTTCATGTTAAATTTTAAATTTTATTATTCCACATTTTTATTATATGTACATAGTTGTATATACATTGATCTTTGATTTTTTTTAAAAAATTTTTTGAAATTTAAAAAAAAATTTTTTTTGTTTAATTTTGTTAAAATTTTCAATTTTTGAAAAATAGCTTTTTTGTGAAACTTATATATTAACCGCATTGTAACAAATTCTTGCAAAATAAAAAAAAATCGAAGTATTCAAATTCTTTGGTTTTTTTTATTTTATCAAATTTCGTTTAAAATAATAAATTTCATAGTTAATATTTTACGAATATTTTTGAAATTTTTACCATTTATCAAGCACATTTTGTGGAACATTTTCTCAAAGTTTTAATTCTATTTAATAAAAATTAAATGTTCTTATTTGCAATTATTTTTTGAAATATTAATTTTTCGTTCAAATTTAATTCGGATTTGAATTTTTTAAAATTTTGTACTTCAAATTTGATTTAAAATTATAAATTTCAAAACTAATATTTTACAAACATATTCTCAAAATTTTAGTAAAATTTCAGAACATGCATATTTCGATTTCGGACTTTTTCGACTATTTTCAAAAAATGCAATTTTTTCGACTTATTTTCAAAAATAGCGACTTTTTCGTCTTTTCTTCCAAATATCACAAAAAAAAAATATCACATTTTTAGTATAAAACATGCAACTTATTTCGTATTTTTTGTTGTGAAAAATAACAATACATTAAAAAAAAAAACAATTTTTGAAAAATTATTTTTGAATCATTTTTCTAATTAAATTTCCGAAATATACAATTAAAAAGATTTTGAATAATTGAAATTTTAAAATTCAATTGATAATGATTGATTTTTTTTCAAGTATTTTATTACAATTTTTGAAAATCAACGTTTGAAGAGTTTTTAATTGTAAATTTTGCAAATAATTGAATTCTCAAAAATTTTAATGAAAAATCTTCCAAATGTAAATTTAAAAATGAAAATCAATAAAAATCAACTTCTAAAAATGATATTTTTGAAAAACGTCATTCCAAGAATTTTTTCATTTCGATTTTTTAGAATATTTAATTATTCTCAACATTTTCAAAAATTCAAATACATGCAAAAAATAATAAAATTTTAATTTTTTACAGAATTATTCTTAAAATTTTGTTGAAAACAATCATTTTAAAAATGTTTAATCAAAATTCTCCATAAAGTTAATTATGGTGTTTTTTAAATTAAACAAAATTTTTTTTTAAGAAATTCGATTATTTTCGAAAAATCGAGAATATTTTTAAAAAACCAGTTTCTAGAATTGTTTCATCATAATTTTTTAAGTTTCAATTATCTTCGAACAAAGAAAAGAAAATTTTTTTAAAATTTACTTTTTTAGATTTATTAAAATTTCTGAGAAGACATGTTCATATTTTTAAATAATGAAAATTTTTCAAAATTTTTGATTAATTTTTTTATATTTTTCAAAAATTCCATTTATTTCTTAAAGACATTTCGAAGTTTCAATTGTTTGGAAATTTTTCAATTTATTAATATAATTGAAAAACTATTTCTTTCAAAAATTATTTAAAAATATTTTTTAAAAAATTAATTTTAAAAATTTCTTTATAATTTTATGCAAAAAAAAAAAATAATAATGAAAATAACTTGATAAAAAACGTGGATAATTACAATTATAATAAAAAATTGAATTTTTTTATTTAAATAATTAAAAAGCGAATTAATTTTTTTTTTCAAAAATTATTAATAACATTCATATTATACTAATATATTGCATACAATACGTGATAAATAATATTATATAAAAAAAATATTAAGTATATCAGTTGAAAAATTTTAAAATGAACTTTTAACGAGAACCCATATTATCGTAGGTCGTCATAATATTTCTGACGAATATTTTCTCATTTAATTCAAATTATTCACGCAAGTTTCATTATATAGATTTTGTTAAGTAATCGTTTTTTAAAACTTTTTTTTCACATTTGAATTATGCGGTAGAATTTGGATAATATCCTAAAATAAAAATAAATAAATCAAATAAATCGAAATTTAATGAATAATTGAAATAAATAAATAAATATAAAATAAAGGAAAAAAAAACATTACAAAAAAAGCAAAATGTAATGAATGTCACATCAAATGTCAGTGATAAATTTTATCGTTGTAATTTTTCTCTAATCGCAAAAAGTAGTTCACAATACTCTATTGCAAAGGATTTTTTTTTTTGTTATAGCAAACAAAATTTTGTATTTTTAAATTAAAATCTTTCTTTTTTTGTTGCAATTTTTTTTTTAAATATTGAAAAAGTTTCTTGATTATAGTAATTTTAATGAAAGTAATTTTTATTTAAATTAAATTATAGTCTAAATTTAAATTAGTCAAAAATAACTAAAATTATTAATAATTATTAGTTGTCTTTGCTAAATAAATTATTTTTAGTATTAGTAATTATTTATTTTTGTTTCTATTAATTGGTTATTTGTTTACCAAAAATTATTTATTTTTGTTATTACATAATAATTAGTTATATTTTAGTAAAAATTAGTTTTTTATTACTAATTAGTTTATTTATTTATATATTTTTTATATTTTGTTTATTTATTTGTTTATCTATTTATTTATTCGTTTGATTATTTATTTATTCATTTATTTGTTTATTCATTTATTTGTTTATTCATTTATTTGTTTATTCATTTATTTATTTGTTTATTTATTTATCTATATTTATTACTCGTTCTTCTTATTATAATAATAAGTTTTTTTTCACAATTGCCGAAAAAAAATGTGAACTAAAATTTTTTAGCAATAATTATAGTTTTTTTGTTGATTTATTTGTTTGTTTATTTATTTGCTTTTTTATTTCTTTATTTATTTATTCGTGTATTTATTTATTTATTTATTTATTTATTTATTCGTGTGTTTATTTATTTATTTACTAGTTCTCCTTATGATAATAATTTTCTATTCACAATTATACCGAAACAAAGTGTTAACTAAAATTTTTTTTTTATTTTTTTCTTATTTTTAGTTTGTAATCTAAATACGATAAAAATGATAACAATAATAATTAATGGAATATACATAGCAAAATGATGAACATTTTCCTAAAAGTGGTGACTCCTCCCATTCCTTTAACTCAAATTCTTTATCTTTATCTTTTCTAATCTTATCTTTAGAGAAAAAAAAGAGATGAACCCAAACCAACACTAATTTTATTGGTATATTTATATAAATGAAAACTACAAGTGGCAAACATTGAAAAGTAAATTTTCTGAAATGTTTGGATTTTTTAAAGCTCTCCATAGAATGAAGTCTTTTACATTGATTTATCGCAGAGCATTTCATAATTTATTTTTATTTTCTATCAAAATCTTCGAATTCTTAAAATTTTTTTTTAAAAATCAAAAACTTGGGGTGATTTTGTCTTTGACTTTCGATTCAATTTTGACTTTGACTTTGAAGGCCAAAATGAAAATCAAAGTGAATGTCAAAATTAAAATGAAGTCAAAATAAAAATTTTTAATGTAAAAATCGAATCAAAAGTCAAATATACAAAATCGTTTTATATTAAGTATTTGGACATTTTTGCACACTAAATATTTGAATATAGTTCATTGCACTCATTGACATTTAAAATTAATTTTCATCAGCGAAATAAAAAGAATATGTCACGTAGTAAAAAATCAAACAATATAATATAAAGGAAGTTTTATTGTTAATTTATTAATTAATTACATCTGTACATTCGTAATTTTTTAAAGACTTTTTACTGTTTAAAAAATTTAGTGTTGAAAAAAAAAATTCAGAAAATTTACTTTTTTCAAAAAATAACAAAATTTCGTTAATTTTGACAAATTTGAAATTTTACAGTTTTGCAATTGTAAAAATAATAATATTAATAATAATAATAATACCAATTATTATTTTTTTTTATTATTATTATTGTTTTCTGCATTGAAATTTGGTATTCAAAACGACAAATTCAGTTGGTCTGATGAAATATTTATTTGCCGAATCACATAAGTGTCGACATTGACTTCCGGGAGATTAAAAAAATATTGTCTATTAATTTGTCAAATGATTTTAAGAATATTAAACAATTTAAAGGAACAGAATTTTTTTTAAATTTTATTTCTTAATAGAAAAAAAAAAGAAAATGAAAAAAAAAAGAAAAAAGTTGTAATAAAAATTATTTTTTTGCATTGCAAAATATTATCAATAATTTCTTAATCGATTCCACTGAGAAATTAATATTTAATTAAATTAATTTTCTTTAATTTAATTATAGCAATATATTAATTAATATTACATAATAGATATATATATTAATAAAAGTAACATACAATTTTAATAACAGTAAAAATTTATTTTTTATTATATATTAAATAAATTATAAAAATTGGTCGGTTTTCCTTTTCGACAAAAAGAATAATTAAACTTTTTCGTTACTAATTTTCATTTATATATTTTTTAAAGATAAAAAATTATAGGAGTAGAGATGATTCTATCACTCAGTCGTATTTTAATAAATAGTGAAAATTAACGATCACTCCGAGTCAAGGAAAAATATAAAAATATAAAATTTCCTTGACTCGGAGTGATCGTTAATTTTCACTATTTATAAAAAATTATAATTGACCTAATTATTCAGAGATCAGCTGACTGATGATACAAGAAATTCATATATATACATGTATGTTTATTGATTAAAATAATAATGTCTGAATATATCGATTTAAAAATTAGTGTAGCAAATGTTATACCTTTATGTTCTTGAAAATATGTACGTTTTCAAAAAAATATTTATTAAATGAATTTCAATTATTTGGAAAATATTATAGAATAACTAAAAACTTCAAATTAATTTCAACAAAAATTGAATTGAACTTTTTCAGAAAAATTAATTCTAT